AAAACAAAAAGAACAAAAAAAAAAGGAAGAAACACGAACGATGTTGTCGGTTGTTCACCGGATTTCTTAGAGGAGGCAATTCGAAAAGGAAAATGAGGGTCGAAAGTCCTATAAATAGGCCGCCGCGGATGAATACTCAATGAGATAACCGTTACCGAAGATTAGTACTGCCCGCTTCCTAAAGTTTTAGTGGGTGTTCGAAACGAGACCAACGTTTTCTCGCGCGCAAAGGTCAATTACGACGCAATGACGGTCGACGATTTCTTTTAACGTTTATGCAAGCTTAATAATAATTGAAATAAATCATTGCCGGTCCAATGTACAATATCTGACGCAACAGAAAGTATAAAAAATTAGATCGAATGCTTATTACTTTTTCTTCTTCCTTTGGTTTACGTATTATCATCGTTACCTACTATCATCAAGATGTCGAACTTATTACGTTTAATCGCGTGACTACAAGAAAATTTACAGGTCCGCATAATTTGTACAATTTACAGATTTATAATACGTAAGATAAATAATTTCCAGTTAGGCATATAAGAACAACAATCGTTTCAAAATAGATTTGTCCCTATCATTGAACCAGTTTCCTGATTATATTTAGTTTTTCAAATATGACATAAACGCGTGCCAGAAGATTGCAATGAAAATTCGATTCGGCCTAACGTCCCTTTTATTGACCTATTTGTGCCTTCTACCGGCCATCTTACGTCCCCGTTACGGTACACTAACTTCACCCACCTATTTCACAAACATGAAATATTGGTGCTACACCTTATCTAAATCTATTTGGTCTCGCGTTAACGAACAGTCTCGAGATTCTATATTTAATTACAACTTATTAATAAACGATAGCAGAACAGGGCACAAAGTAACGGATTCAAACAGTTCTACCGCTTCGAGTACAATGAAGTAATCAATTGGCCACCGAATGGGATAATTTACTTTAGTACCTAATTTCTTCACATCTGTTCATTGTAATGACCAGTACCAATTCCAGCGAGTACCATTCATTACATCCGACGTTCCTTTTTCATTGTTTTTAAAGAGGGACATACGCATAAATGATTTAAGAGGGTATCGACGATTGAATGGAAGGCGGTTGATCGATCGTATTAATAGATTGAAAAGGTGGTTTCAAATGAACATACACTAGAAACGAAACCATGCATGCAACGAGAGTTGACTTGAAAACCGCGGGCCGAGTAATACAATACCGAGCTGGACGACAGTCTGCTTAGAATTTTTTCCGGGCGTGCCGCATTAAATAACTAGGCGTACATGTACGCGGTGAGGCGTCAATGAACCGTACTCTTATACAGCGAGTTAAAGGATCGTAGAACAAAATTGGACACCTTGTATGGAGATTCTTTTCCCGGCGCGTACAGAGAGATCCACGTCGCTTGGAAAGATAAAACGATGGTAAACGAAAGATACGGTTAAATAGACTGAAAATAATTACCTCGAAAATAGAGGGGATGATCGTTTCATTTCTATTGTGTTATTCGAACGTTTGGGAGCTAAGCGTGTGAAAGATTGATGATTTACGTATATTCCTCTCTTTAAAATTACAGCGTCATGCAGTGGAACATTCTGTTTCTATTTTCTTTTCCGCGATGCTTTTCTCCAGTTTGAAATAAATTGCACGATTCCTTTGAGATTGAACAGAAAGTTGATCATTTAGGGGATATTTTCGACGATATTCGAAGGAGTATTTTTTCTGGAAGAATAAGCAATGCAATGAATAAAATGTTTGATACTGTTGGAAAAATAAAGCAATACAATGGTTCACTTTCTTTATGTGATTATTATACGTTGTTTTTACGATGCGATTGTCGAATGATTTCTCACATTTTCGTAATTTCGAAATACGAAGCTACACTCGAATGTTAGGAAGTCTGCGAACTTGTCACTTCCTTTTTCTTGATTCGCAAACAGGCAGAAATACTGAAACGATCGGAAACTTTCTGCCAGCAATGTATGCGTTTCGTTTAACGTTCGCTCGTAAAACGTGGAGGATATATTACATATTTATGCGACACGACGCTTGTGCGTATAGCATGAAATTAAAATTCCCAGACATTTAACGCGAATTAAATAACACGCAAGAATTTATTTTGCGCATTTTTATAATAATCGTGTGCAATATATCGAAGTACAAAGATTCTTCGTACAACGTGTTCCAAGAAATCGTAACAAGTGTGTCCTCGGTGCATTTAAGGGACACAATGTTTGAAAAAGAATATATATAAATACTGTAAAGTATGTTTACATTCGTTGGACTCTATAGATTTTTTGTAAATGTAAGAAATGTATGTTTCTTTGCAATGATCGAGTCATGAAACGTTTCTCCGTGATGTTTCAAATGTTCAATGCATCACTTTTCGGTTGAGTCACATAGACCACAGAAATTTCCCAGCACAGACGAAACAGAAACCGCAACGAAGATTTAATCTTAATGTATAATGCGATAGCTTAAACACCGTGGTTTTTACGATGGGAAGTCAATGAAATTTTAAATTGTTCCAGCGAAATAAGTATTACAATAGCTATGTACATCTGTACACGTACCCAAGCACCTGGCTAGCATGTTCATTCGATTTGAAACCCACTTGTCTCCTTTTCTATACATTGTTTAAACTTAAAAGGTATACACGCGTCTCACAAATTCTTTAGGAAACCTGAAAGAACGGCTAACGCTACGCATTAATCTTTTCCTTTTAAAACGTTTTTTCCAACTTCCTGTAAAAAGAGCTATGACTCGAAACCATTACGTGAGTCAATCCGCACAAATGGCGACTTATTTGGAGTACGTGCTGTACACGTTGACATAATACTCGATATGAATTCTCCTAGCTTCAACCGGTCAATTTTATCAAAAAGAATTGAATTCGATTTACTTTGAACGTTAAATAATCGTTCGCCACGAAATTGGCACTATACATCTAACTAACGTATATACGTTTGTCACGCTTGAGCTTTACATTCCTATTCAAATTTACCAATCCCGCGAGGCCTTGTCAATTACGCATCCGCAAAGACTACGCCAGGCGTTTCGATTATTGCGCACAGTAAAAAAAAGCAGTTATTCCATAAGCAATGCTCTGAAGATTAAAAATTATTGCTGAGTCATCCGACGAGCAATTAAATAAGTAAACGTGGGCACCGAGTGTGTCATTTACGAGCGTACGCTATTTGGAATAAGTTCTTCATCGATGGCAGTGAACTCTTTCCGTTGTAGAGGAAAACGCGGGCGGACTCTTTTTATCAGTGATTTATATCTGAGCAATTTGTATGATCGCGTGTGAGATTTACGCATGCGTCTTAAACCGGGTACTTAACAATTGCTCAATCTAATAAACGTACAGTACATTCAACGGTATCGGCTGGAGCGAGCATTTAAGCGAAGAGCGCACGTACATATTTTCCTCGTTTCATTCGTACTCTCCTTCTGTCGTCCTCTCTCTCCCTTTTTTCCTACCTCGCGCTATTTTCTCTTGCCTATCCTAGCTTTTCCTTCGCGCTTGTCATTAGTCTCGTTACGAATCTCCTCATCATCGCTTTCCTTCTTCTTCTTTTCTTTTTCGTTTCTGTCCCCCTTATCCTATCCGAGCTCGCCGAGCCCGCGCATGTAACATTTCCATTAACATGGCCAGGAACAGGAACGAGATCGAAATCAGGAGAGGTGTAAACCGGTTGGTGTTTAGAATCACACGACTGTTTACGTGGAAAAGTATTCTTAATTTCGGTAAGTAAAGAGAGGACCCGCGACGACGAGACGATAGCGAAACACGCTTCTTTTCACGGTTTCTCCGGTGAAACTTTCATGTTTTCACTCGCGCGTCCTAGGCGTGTTCTCTTTTTTCTCCCTTCTTCTTTCTTTGCGGCGTTACGCGCTGCCTTTATCGTCGTTTTTATCTGTGTGACGAATTTCTTTTTCTGCTTGCAGTTATTATATTGCTAACGATACTGGAGTTTGGATCGGTACCGCAACAGCGCATCGGCTTCTACTGCAATGACCCGAAACTTTCGTTTAAATTTATGGGGGATACCGTTTCCATCACGCTGCTTCTGGCTGGATGCATTGTAGCGCCGTTTGTGGTGGTATGTGAGTCCGATTTTTCGTATTTTTATTTTCCATTGAAGATTTCGTTTTGGGAAGCTACGAAAATTATTGAAGTCAATGTAATATTGTTATATTTCTTTAAATGGATTTCATACATTTTTTTTTGTTTAATATAGACGCAACGATAAATTATTTGTATATTCGGAATGTAGACGGTTACTTTATTTACGGATTAAAATGGTAACGAGACACATCCGAATAGGACGTTTTATCCTGCTTTCTTTCTTCTGTTGAGAAACAGTTGTTTTTCATGTGTTAACTGATCACAGAGGGAATATATAAAGGTCTATGTACAAAATTGTTTTATTCGAATGGTATATAATTTGCATCCATTTGAAATGTAATAGCGGTTATTAAAATTCGCGCGATAAAGTAACCTACATTTAAAAATAAAACGTTATTTATGCGCGCGAGGCGAATATGAAAGTTGTCCGATGAAAATTTTAAAGATAATGTTATTGTTTGTTTTAGATGTGGTTGGCGGAATACATGTGTCACTCCGCCGATAGCTACGACATATCTTTAGGATGCGCTGGTTCAAGAGCGAAGCAAATATGGTCGTGGTATGGCCACTACATGGCCGGAATAATTGGTTTGACGTTTTTATGCGATGTCATGAAAACTCTGATCGGAGAACCGAGACCGCATTTCCTGGACACGTGCAAGCCACGCGAGGCTCAGAATTGTACTCACCAGTACGTACTAAGTTCGTTTTCTCGTTACCGTTAAAGATAAACAGTAATCTCTCTCTCTCTCTCTCTCATTTGAGCAAATGTTACATGATCCAATTCGACGTTTTGTTTCAGATACATCGAAGAGTATACGTGTACAAATACAATCGATTCAGAGTGGTTTGTTTCTGACTCTAGTAAATCATTCCCTTCGGGACATTCTGCCCTTTCCGTGTTTACAACTGTTTTCGTAGTGGTAAGTCTCAATGATAGGCTGTATTCACGTTTCTGTTAATTTATAAAATACGTGTTATCGTATAATAATAAAACAAGAGAGGTATTGCATTAAGATGTCGATCTATTCTCCATGCTAGCGCTGCACAACGAGTCGTTTTTTGAGTGCAACTATCCACATTTGACACAATATCAAGAGGGAATTGTTGTTATTGTGGTTTGTTAATTAATTCTGTTTTCGTAACGAACTGAAATAGCGATTCTTCATCTGTTGGTTCTTATTTTATTTAATAACTATTATAGCGTTTCTATATAAAATTAACTTCGTTATACTACATTCTAAATTATAATAATTAAGTTAACAAATATTATATTCTTTTAATGTAAGAGAATCAGAAATGATTTCTATCGTAATAGTGTTATATAATTAATGTAGAGAGTTAAATCGGATTAGAAAACTGTATGATTTTACTTAAAAGATTAAGGTGATATAAGTTAATTAAGAGATTATTGTTCTTATTGTTGCAGTGGTACTTACAAAATCGTCTGCCGAGCCGGACATTCTTCTTAAAACCATGGCTACAATGTATGTTATGTTTATGGGCTGTGATATGTTCGCTAAGTAGGATCATTGACAACAGACATCACTGGTGGGATGTCCTCGCAGGTTGTATTTTTGGCCTAACATTTAGTGTGTTAACTGTCACAGTGCTATGTCGTGCCTTTCATATAAATCGTGTTGGTTCTCATATTTACACTGAGCCAATAGATAATGGACAATTAAATTTCAATGGCAAGAGGCATTCGAATGTAAAAATTCTACATGAAACAACAGATCTTCCAGAAGGTTGTGAATTAAAGAATGCTTCGTCAAACTGGAAGGAATGAGAATTAAATGTTTCACAAATTTACTACCATTCATTTTAATAGATTAGTGGAGGAACTTAACTGTGTGACAGTTTCAGTTGAAAGAATTGAATTTATTTATTTATTTCTTCTATTAATATAGAAGTAATGATTTAATAATAAAGAAAATTCCTTGGGCGGGAAGTAAAAAGTAAGATAAAATTGTAGTAGAATAAAAATCTCTGTTTATTAATTGAATGTTTAAAAAGACTACTATTGGCTTTTTGAAAATTTGAATTAATGAATGGTACTATTAATTGCTTACCTAATATATATGTATGTAGGTACATATATATAAAGAAACATTATTTTACTTGGAGATAAATAAAGCAAGAAATTCTAGAATCTTTCAAATGGCGCTTTTTTCATTCTGTGATATTTGATAATTGAAAAGTAATGCAAGATGATATTATATTTTTTATCACAAAAGATAGATTTATCAGTTTTTACTGTTATCAAGAACAAAGAAAAACATACCTCTATTTTTGTGATTAAAGTCGAATTTGTAATGGAAGTTCTATAGATTTTCTAAGAAGAAATCTTTTAGCACAAGTATTTATGGTACTATGAAGAAAAACGTGAGTAATTATTAGGACGTAAATAACGTTAATCATTGTAATAACAATAATGATGATAATGGTAACAATAGCAATAACAATAGCAATGAAACAAAGAGACACAGTGTTCAATAGTAATAATTTATGATGCACATAGGTTTATTACTTATTCCATTATAGTAAAGTTCGTACAACAAAAAGAAAATGCTGATAGGTACAAGGATCAATCTGGACCTATAAGTATTTGATCTTTAAAGTTATAGTAATTTAACATTCCATTTTAAATGCAGCTAGAGTATATTTACGTAATTAGTACGTGTAGATCATAGAAGGAACTATACAACTGTATAAAGTATTAAAGACCAATATTGTGAAAAATATAGAGGAAACTGTCTATATTTTAATCTTCCACTGCAATTACATTCCAATTGTGATTCAGAATTGTAAATATTGTATAAGTATACGTGTGCGAGAAGAAATCCTTAGTTTAAAAACATTGTAATATAATTTTATTTTAAGGGAATATGTATGTATAGTATATGGTACAACTCTGTATCAATTTATATTTACAATCGTGATGTGAATGTTTGTATTAGTTTATATGAAATAAATAGCGATTACGCACATTCGTATAATATTGAAACATTCAATATACTATTCCTATACAGTAACTCATTTTATAAATATTACATGTTTATCTATTAATACATTTTATATGCTCTATTTTATTTGTTTATATAGAAACAATTTGAAAAGAATTCATCATTAAACTTGAAACTTGACCACAACAAATAATCTCAAAATAAACGAAACAAAACACGGCGCGCAAAAGTTCAAATATTCATTCTGTAACTCCTTAACATTTCTGCTTGCAAAATTCAAGTTTCAACGAATAGTTTTCTCAAAAATATCATCCGATTTTAGACATTTATCAATATGCAACGTTGCAGATTTATTACTCTTTTACCACTTCAAATTCTCAAAATTAAAATACACACCTAATATAAATTCACTCACATTCAGTCTCACAATAGCTAAACTTTTGTTTCCCCTTCCACAAGACTAAACGCAAACGTAAAGTTTCCCGAAACTTCTCACGACTGCCCCAACGGAAACAACAACGATCCGTAGTCACCAGCCAGATCTTCGCGAGTGTCACAGAAAATGCCACTTTCCTCCGGAATAATTAACAGAGACAGCTGCGCGTCACGAAGTAATTTTTCCCCCGCCGACGATCAACACTCGTCGTTCAATGTCATAATNGGGGTGAATGCGAGGCAGTAGTGGAGGCAGAGAGGGGTGGAGTCTGGAAATGGGCTGGCAGGAGCAGAGAGATTGCACCGAGGTTGACGTGTGTATGTGTGTGCACGGGTGGGTGTGGGTGTGCATGTGCACGGGAGAGAGTAAGGGAGTGAAAGAAAGAGAAAGAGAGAGGGATGAAGTGGCAGATTAACATGAACCGATGTGGGCCATTCATAACTGATCTTTCTCCTTTCCTCCCCCGTGCTCTATGTATACACGGGCCCGTGCACGACGATTTATAGAATTGGAAAAGCGATATCGGAAAAATAGTAAACTTTATTGATGAATCCCTTCCCGACCTCTAAGAGATATCACCGCAATCGAGTCGACCGTGTTCCCCTGCCGCCGTTGTGCCACAGGTGGCATGTAACCAATCCACGATACGCTGTACGGTAATCTTTTATTTGTTATTCGGGATTCCCTCTTTTTTTATCCGTGTAATAATTTTAAGCGTGGCCGATCTCCGACACATCTTCGAAGCTGCGAACCGTGGCGGATTCTTGCTCGACTACGATATCCCGTTTAGCTAGTCGCAAATAAAGAATATTCTTTGATTCGTAATTGGACATCGTGTACCTGTACGGAGCGTGGATTATAAAATTGAGAGGTTGTATTGCAGATTGGGAAGTTCGTTGTATCGTGCGTTGGAAATGAGATTTCTCGGTGTTACTGTTTTTAGAGTTGTCTTGAGAAGATTGTATTTGTTCAGACGTTTTTCATTTAATTATCGTTGTAATGAAGTATTGGTGTAATGTGTTCTATGTAATGTATTATTCGTTGATAGTTATTTCATTTGGATCCACGGGATTGTAGGAAAATTGAAATTATGTTCAGAAGTTATTCTGGTAATTTCTGTTTGTAATTATTACTGGTAACTACGTGGACTTGATCTCAACCGCGCGGTATTGTGTCGGCTACGGTTATATCAAAATTCAGCATCTAATAAGACGACCTTGGTAACCCGGAAAGCAGCGCAACCTATTTCAGATACGTCCCAGACGTTTTAATGTAAATATTCGATGATACTTCGTTACGACGTTTCGTTTTGAAGTTTGTCCAGCACTTTTCATCCGGGGAACCATTAATTAAGTATATCGCGTTCCGTTTTTATTTTAGTCAAGAAATATTTACCTTTTTATAGACCGTTTTATATAGACTCCGAAAATTGGTTCAACAGCATGAAAACGATAAATAAATATACTTACTAATAATGTCGAAAATGAAGAATATTTGTTGCCCTTCACCTTTGCAAAAATCAATTACGAGGGTAACGCTTAAGCACCTTGTATTTCATGAAATACATTCTAAAAAAATAAAATTATTTCGATTCTTCTGTTTTCACATAAACGGCAATAATTTAACGTAATCCAAGAAGAATGTAAACAATTAAGGGTTACATTACTATTCGAAAAATCCTAGGAATGAAAAATCAAAGAAAGAGCAAACAACGGATGTATCGCACGTTAGATTCCATTCTTTACACATTCGCGAAAATTTAATCTCCCTCCTCGCAAACACCAAAAGAAACAATGAAATTCCTTAAGTGTACCACTAGAAAACCAGCGATCGAGGTACAATGAAACATCGCCGATTCGTTAACAGCCGCAGAATTAGGCAGCATTTCTTCGTATCAGAACCTGAAATCAAAGTCTAAAAGAGTACCCGAACCAACGAACGTACGATCATCGATCGTTTCTTGCTTTCTCAGACGAATTCCCAGCGCCAAGAGTGCTTCTATCGCGTAAAGCCCTAAAACCGCGATAAATATTCCCGGAATCGCCGAGAATCGGTCAGAAATTACCATAAATTTCGTGGTTGGACGGTAGTCCCGGCGCGGCGCGGCGGCCGGGTACGAAACGCGATATCGGGTCGAATTCGGCGCATTTACAGGCGAAGGGTTAATATTATCTTCCGCGTAATGACCGATGGTTAGCGGGGGCCGACATTATTCTTAAGACGGCGACGAAATGCTAAGAGGGGGTGGTGCCTGGCGCGGTTCCGCACGGGGGTGGGAATAAAGTATCGAAGTATCGATGCACGGGACACCGTACCCCGGCGAGGACTTAATACGGTGGCATTCCCTTTATACGTGGAATGGAGCACAACGTGAGATCTACTTTAATCCTAATATACCATACGTACCGGGGACCGGCGAAATAATGACTCGTCCCGTGGAAACGTCGCGGGCGGCGTGCGCGCGTTACGAACGGGATCGGGACCGGTCGTCCGGCCGGCGTCATCGATCATCCTCGCTGATTTTCGGACCGTATGAAATTTTCGATTAAGTCGCGTTAGACGGCTGCGCTAGTTATTCGAACTTGTGCGCCGCGGACGAAACATTTCCAGGCAGGCGTGTCTGTTCAGCCAGCGGCGAAACGTTTGTCCTCGAGTCTGCGGTGTAACGGCTTATTATCGGACGCGCGGACGTTGTAAATGAAAATGTTTTCTCTAGAAACTCGTGTACCGCATCGGATATTCGATATTCGTTGGAATCGTTTCGGTGATGTCGACGGAGTAATTGTGGGAAATATTGGGAGCCGGTCGGCCGGTCAATTGTTTCGCGGTTACGGGTAGAGGCGAGGGAGAATGTACGCCAAGACCAGAAGGACGTCCTGTGACGCATTCAATTGAAAATCTCAAGGCACCCTTGTGCACCGTTGGACGATAATTTATAGGGTTACATTACGTACAATATGGATCAGTTATTTTGGTTTAATGGAACGAAATTTTTAACGAAAAAATCCACCGACGGCTTTCGACGCGTGGCCGACCCCGCGATCGGCTCTTTGATCGACCAACGCTCGCGGACGATGTTCAATAAATTTAAAGCGACGTGATCGCATTGATTTTTCGTTCTTTTCTCTTCTTTGCGCGTTAATAATTATTTCTCTGTTTCATTGGCCCCTTCGATGACGATATACGGGTCGTGCGGACGTTTAAAATCGGATGCCCGATTTAAGAGGAACGAGGGATCGTTAAATAAATTGGGCGATTGAGAAAATTTATGATCGTAATGGAGGATGAAAGATGGGGAAATTATGTAATTGTAGCTGGAAATTTCGATCATGGTCCAAGGATAGGATTTTTGGTATTATAATTTTAATAGGGTCTGGGAGTTTCGTATTTTTTCGCGGCGGTGCATTCGTAACGCCGATTATGCGGACAGGGAACATTTCTGTACGAAATTAAATTGTACTTCTGTGAATGTAGAAACTGCAAAGCCAATTGTATTATAGGAACATGGGGGATACACGGTGATGAATAAAAGTATTAAAGATATTTATAGAAGTACAAATCAGAATTTGCTGTGAAATTCCGTGGAAATTTCTGATACATTGTTTGGAAAAGAAAACATACGTTTTTTTCTAAAATATAATCGTTGAGTCTGAAGTTTTACTGCTGCACAATTAAAATAAATAATCAAAAATGCATGAAAGACTATTTTCAAGTGTTTACTATTTTACAATGTAAATTACGATTATACTTTATAAACGATTGGATATTAAGCATTTGATTATACGTCATTCGTCTAAAAATACAGATTTTAATTCGACGTTACGTTAGAATATAGTGATTTCTAGTCTTTCAAGTGATTACACATATTTTCTGCAGACTCTAACTGTAGAAATTATGAAGAGATTGATAACGTATGAGATTTAAATAAGTACATGACATTTAATTATTACTATAATATTAAGCATGTATTAACGTAGTAATAAGTACTATATAATGATACAAAAGTAACATTTAATTATTGATATAATCCAATACTCTAAAAACAGTAGTATTTGATTCTAACAAACGACATTTCAGCATAATCAATATTTAAAGTTGTCCATATCTCTAAATGACTAATATCGGAAGAATTTCGCACGCATTTTTCTTGCGCACTGTACAAACCTTCGCATTGAATTGCACCTGTGAAGGGGAACCCTTTCCGCCGCGCGTTTCATTTAGGGCCGGGCGAATCAAGCGAGCTAGCAAACTGCAAATAATTATGTAACATAAACATTCGCGTGCTCGTTACGCAAATGTACGTTTCAACTAACCGAACTAATTAAAGAAACTATAACGATGTAAACATTTTAAACTAAACGAAACTCGGTAATCTAATAATAACAACATTTCAATTCACGTTTAATACCTTTTTAATGTTCACCAACTATCATTTTATGAGAAACGTGCTTCCAAATGGCGTATTCCATAAAATAAACATAATCAAAACCAAATAAAGGAACCAGTCGAACGTCATAAAAGACATTACCCGTTCGCAGCCGTGCCATTAACACCAAAATTCGACAAAACGACCAAAA